TTTAAATGTCACACCTGAACGCTCACATTCCTTTTAATTATGTTTGAAATTATGAACATTGCTCAACATCATGAAAATTAAACCTTATTTTCAATAAGCAATCCTGAAAAATAAAAAAAGTTAAGCACCCCCAAATCCAGGTGTATATTTTATAGCAAAGCCACATTGGGCTATCTGCAGTGTCGACCGTGTGAGAATCGAACCACAGATTTTAGCATTGTAAGTCCGTAAACTTATTGCTGTACCACCAGAGGACCCCCAAAGGAAGGCAACTGGCAGCATCACCCTAACTCACACACCATCCACGTGTTATATTTTCAATGTTATCGATTGATTTCCTTTGGAGTAATTGGATAGAAACCATAGGATAATGTGGAATCTCACCAGGAAATGTATTGCAGAGCAGAAATGAGACTTTCTCTAACTTTGATGCAAAGAAGTATACGGGATGCAAGTTACACCAGAAAAATAATTTTTATTCATTTAAACATCAACCACTGTTAAAGAAGAATATAAGTGTGGTACCCAGAGGAGTTGCTAGGCACTGGTACACGAGGTCCATGCCCGATACTACTTGATAGTGCTCTGAACCCTTAGTTGGTGTCTTGAAAAATCAGAATAGAAAACAATGATCAATATCATACTGAAACGCCGGAAATGGGCCGAACTCCGAATCTATTAAGCATCTAGCAATGCCTCTGGTGGTACCTTTACTGGAGGGAGATGTGATGTTAATTTGAGCTATACAAAAGCTTTATAAAAATTTACCTAACTTTTGGGAGTTAAACAACTTTCCTTTATACAACTTGATTAAAGTTGTTGAAATTGTTTCTCAAATTTGCTTGAAAATGAGAAAATATACCATTCTTCTCAGGCTGCAGGCATCACACACGTGACTGACGACCCCGATCACGCAAACTCTGAAGTAAAGGATGTTATATATCTGGGGTATCACCCGACTTTCCAGTACTTAACTGTAGTTTTGTATACAATATGTTCTATGTTACAGCAATCTTTCCTACAAGAAGGTACCTGTGACACCTTTGTTGACTGAACTAGTTCTGCAAGTTAATCATTTCCTTTACCTACTTTCTATATCAAGTCCAAAATATTGAACATGCACAGAGAAACATCCCAACTATATGGTTAGGAAATACGTGAAAATGCTTGCATACCAAACATTCTAAGGTAGGCCTGGCATGGCCAGGTGGTTAGGGCACTCTACTCGCAATTTGAGGGTCGCGGGTTCGAATCCCCATCCCACCAAATAGGCTCGCCCTTTCAGCCGTGGGGGCGTTATAATGTGACGGTCAATCCCACTATTCGTTGGTAAAAGAGTAGCCCAAGAGTTGGCGGTGATGACTAGCTGCCTTCCCTCTAGTCATTCACTGCTAAATTAGGGACGGCT